TGATCCCAGTCCCAGTCCCCACGTCCCCCAGCGGGATTTTAACCCTTTCCTTACCTGCTCAGGTGCGATCAGCAGCACAAACCCATCCCAAAATCCCTCCCGGAGGGGACCCTCGGGAAGGCTGGAGCGCGGAATTCCCGCCGGGAGCAGCTCCAGGAGGCGGAAGTGGCGGAGCTGCAGCGCTCAGGTGAGTTCAGGTGAGTTCAGGTGAGTTTGTTTTTTTATACCTTCCTGTGCACAGGTGACTTTTCCTGCTCCACCTGCCCCGATCCCGCTGAATCATTCCCGGTACAAACAAACCTGGAATGCTCCGACAGGCAAAGGGGCTGGGCCTGGGGAAAACAGGGCACAAAATCCTCCCGTGCAGCCGGGAAAATCCAGTTTTCAGGGGGTTTTTTAAAAATATTTTTTATAATTTTTCTATTCCAGCCTGGGAAATTCTGCTTTTCAAGGGTTTTCAAAATTTTCTGTCATTTTCCAGAATTTAGCCCTCTTTTCCAGCCTGGCAAATCCTATTTTTGAAGGGTTTTTAAAATATTATCCATAATTTATCTTTCTATTCCAGCCTGGCAAATCCTATTTTTGAAGGGTTTTTAAAATATTATCCATAATTTATCTTTCTATTCCAGCCTGGCAAATCCTATTTTTGAAGGGTTTTTAAAATATTTTCCATAATTTATCTTTCTATTCCAGCCTGGTAAATCCTATTTTTGAAGGTTTTTTTTTCGTTTTTTTTTTACATTTTCCATAATTTATCTTTCTATTCCAGCCTGGGAAATTCTATTTTTGAGGGTTTCTTTTATATTTTCCAGAATTTATCCCTCTTTTCCAAGCTAGGAAATCCTATTTTTCAGGGAGTTTTTTTACATTTTCCATAATTTATCCCTCTTTTCCAGCCTGGGAAATTCTATTTTTGAAGGGTTTCTTTCATATTTTTCATAATTTATTTTTCTATTCCAGCCTGGGAAATTCTGCTTTTCAAGGGTTTTCAAAATTTTCTGTCATTTTCCAGAATTTATCCCTCTTTTCCAGCCTGGCAAATCCTATTTTTCAGGGTTTTTTTTTACATTTTCCATAATTTATCTTTCTATTCCAGCCTGGGAAATTCTGCTTTTGAGGGATTTTTAAAATTTTCTGTCATTTTCATCATGTTTTCCCTGGATATTTATT